GTTTATCCATTTCAGGTCCAAGTATCCAAGGTGGTGGTTCTGGAGGCCGGATTGTCATTAGATTGACAGAACCATTTATGTTCCGTGGTGTGATTKCTGCTTGGGGTGGCAGTAGTACCAATTCAGCGCATGGTAGTCCTGGAACTGTCTATATACAAACAAATATTGGTGACGATGAATATAAGTTACTTTTCGTGGACAACCTCAATCGAGACGAAAAGTTCCAAGTACTTTTGGATGAAACAACAATGGATGAGTATCGTTTTGATGAAGTTAAACTTGTTAGAAAAGCAACACTTGCTCTGAAAAAGGTATTGATTTTTACTTTGATCGCTTTTTGTCTTTTGTAAAAATGAAAAATATTCAAATAGAAATGATTGAGTGTTTTATAATTACCAATATTGCCGTCCTTCATATATGCACTCACATCAATGGATTGTATTAGACCAAATGATAATCTTACATCGAGTATTTTYCTTGTAGAAACCAGGTCGAAATCCCAAACTTTACGTGTTTAAAACATCTGGAGACAAAAGTGGTTTGTTTTACGTCAGCCAGGGCACAATAATCCATATAGAGCCAAAGAGCATCCGAACCCAGCCTCCTGTAAACTTTGAAGTGAAGCAAGGGGGATTCTTAGAGCTGCCTCTCTTTACTGGACTGTCAGGGTTAAGATCCTATTCAATGAATATTGAAGGGTATGTGTACGGAGTTGAAGAGCTTCAAATTTCTAAATCGTTAAGCGCAAGATTTTCCATATCTGGACAGTCTTCATGTTATGGATGCAGTTTGCCGATTTCTCAAGGGCAGTACTGGTTCAAGAGGCTTAAGATCGCAAACAGTGCCAAAGCAGAAATATCTAGCAATTCTGTAAATGTTAAGACAAAAACTATAGTACTGCATATACAGACTTTGGATGTACAAGGTACAGCGTCAATAAACACCGACGTTATGGATATCTTCACCGATTTTATGAAAATCCAATGTGATGCTAAGATTGATTCTTCTTCTCGTGGTTACCGAGCGTATCAGGGACCTGGGTATCACAGTGGATGTGGATCTACAGCTGGTGCTGGACATGGTGGCGAGGGAGGCTACGGTGAAAAATGGGGTTGCTATAAGTGCTCTCAGTCAGGTTTGTTTTAACTATAAGTGTTAACTTACTTGTGACCTACCCCGTTTGTGTTTTCAGGAAGATTTCAAAATAATTTGAAAAAAAAGGAAATGACAAAAAATGAACTAAATRATGAACCATATAAAGTGCAGATATTTAGCTTATTGTTAGAACGGTATCCTGATAAGTTAACAGGCCAGGAGTCATCGACATTTTTCACAACRCTTGAAGGCAAATATTAAGGAAGGTAGCTGCACTTTAATAAWTGTATATCTGTTCTAGGCAAGGGATTGGCGTACGAAAGCCCCTGCACAGCATCTRTGGCTGGAAGTGGTGGAAGCCAACCTGGAGGAGGGGTTATATATTCTACAACTGAGCGTTTAATAGAGCTTGATGGCTCAATCAATGCAAACGCATATATGACAGCAGGACGTGGACAAGGCGGTGGAAGTGGTGGAACTATATCTGTAAATGCAAGGTATTCCAGTTACTAATTACCAGAATTCTAAACATTACACAATTACTCATATMTTTTGCAGATTTTTTTCATATGAAATAATTTCCCTTTCTTTTTAAGGTATTTCGAGGGACATGGAAACCTTAGAGTTCAAGGTGGTAATGGTGCTTACTGGAGGTCATATAACTATCAATGTCACTCCCGATATCAGTACTCGCAAGGTGGAGGAGGTGGTGGTGGTCATCTTCGTCATTTCTCACCAGAAGCGGTCAGAAGAAACATATTACGAAACAGAGCTGTTTCAGGTGGAAGTCCACGGTCAGGAGCTGGAAGGATATGTGCTGACGGTGAAAAATGCAGCGGTCATGGCACATGGAATGCTGCAATAGGCAGCTGTTCGTGTACACATGGATATTATGGTGTTAGCTGCTCGTATCGCTGTGACCCCAACACGAACTGCTTGAATCATGGTCAATGTACTGGCTCCGGTGGTTGTATTTGTAACCTTGGTTATGTTGGGTATCACTGTGAGCATCGTTGTAGTCCTGATATAGACTGTAGTAGTCATGGGCGTTGTTCTGTAACTGGAAAATGTTTATGTGACCCCTGTTATCATGGTGATAAATGCCAGTACCACTGCTCTGGTCGTGGAAACTGTATAGCCAATAGTTGTAAATGCGATTCTTGTTATGTTGGTACATATTGTCACTCTGAGTGCTCTGGCCATGGTAACTGTACCGATTCCAAGTGCGTTTGCTCGTCGAAACGGAAAGGAATCTTTTGTGAGGTTCCAAAGTGTCCAAACGATTGTTCAGGGCATGGCATTTGTAACAGCTTTTTGCTTAAATGTGCCTGTGAACCAGGATGGGGTGGTATTGACTGCAGCTTACCTGACTGTTCTGGTGAGCCAAGCTGCTTCGGACGTGGCCAGTGTATAGAAATAGATGGTGTTACAGCTTGTCGAAACTGTACAGCAGGCTGGATGGGACCAGCATGTAATGACCCATGTGTTAATGGTGTGCAGAAACCTATGGACAGTGGAATATGTGTGTGTGATCCTTGTTGGTCAGGAAAAGGCTGCAATTCGCTCTGCATGGGACACGGTGTTTGTCAAGCGAACTATTGTGTTTGCGATCCATTAACTGGTTGGCGAGGTGAGTTGTGTCAAATACCAGGTTGTCCAGGAATTGGGGAAGATTGCAGTGGAAATGGTGAATGCAATGGTGCAACCCACACTTGCACTTGTAATAAGGGATGGACAGGAGTAGGGTGTCACATTCCAGACTGTCCAGGGGCTCCGAACTGTAACAACAGAGGATTTTGTAACACCACGTTGGAGCCTCCTTCGTGTACTAACTGCTCAGCAGGATGGATGGGACCAGGATGTGGCGATCGTTGTCTTTATGGTAAACAAGTACCAATGGATAGCGGTAATTGTGTTTGCTTTCCAGGCTATACAGGGGTAGGATGTGACAGTGAATGCTCACAACATGGTAAAGTAGTGAAGGGAAAGTGTGTGTGTAATGATGAATGGCGTGGTACTCTATGCGAGAATCCCGGGTGTCCAGGAATAAGATCTGATTGTAGTAGTCATGGTGACTGCAACACAGCAACACATAAATGTACTTGTCGTAATGGCTGGACAGGAAGGGGATGTGAAATTCCAGATTGCCAAGGAGTACCAAATTGTTTTGACCGGGGATATTGTAATATTACCTTTGATCCTCCTGTATGTACCAACTGCTCACAAGGCTGGATGGGACCTGGATGTGGAGATCCTTGTCTACATGGAAAACAAGTACCTATGGACAGCGGCAATTGTGTTTGTGATCCAGGATGGGTGGGTGTTGGCTGTAATAGTGAATGTTCAGGTCATGGCTCTGTAATCAATGACATGTGTCAGTGCCATGATGGATGGAGGGGTACATTGTGCGAGAATCCCGGTTGTCCAGGTAAAGGGAGTGACTGTAGTGGTCACGGTGAATGCAACAGTGCAACCCATGTATGTATTTGCAACAATGGATGGACAGGAGATGGTTGTGAAGTGCCTGACTGTCCAGGTGACCCAGATTGCAACCGCAAAGGTAACGTAAATACTCCACATTTCAGCGTTCAAAGCTTCCTTTATGTATCACTTTTTAAAGTCAACTGTTTCTTTCCTTGACATTCTCACAGCTTAAACATAAAGCATGTAATGTGTTTCTTACAAAGTATAAGCTGTTCTTTTCCCCTTTCTTGAGTTTATATTCTTCATCCGTATTCCCATACACTAATATGTATATTATATACTGTATAGAAAAGGGGCGTTAATCGATTATTGATGTTTTTTGGCAGTGATAACTTCAATCTTATCTCAAAATGAGAAGGGGCACATAAGAATTCTTGATGTCTCGACGATTTTTTGGATTCTAAACGTTTTAAATGTTTTAAAAAGGGTAATGTAATTAAGTGTATTTTGGTATTTTGTAGGTCACTGTAACGATAGCTACARCCCCCCAAGGTGTACAGACTGCATACAAGGCTGGATGGGACCAGCTTGTGATGATCATTGTACATATGGTAACCAAGTCCCTATGGACAGTGGTAAATGTCAGTGTTATCCATGCTATTCAGGTAGCGGGTGTGACATGGAGTGTTCAAATCACGGGAAATGCCGAGGAAATCAATGTGTGTGTGATCCTGTAACTGGTTGGCGTGGTTCTCTTTGTGAGGTTCCTGGATGCCCTGGAGATGGAAAAGACTGTACTGGTCATGGGACGTGTGATAGTGTAAACCATAAATGTATCTGTGATCCAGGTAAATTATAGCTTTAATGCTAAAAGAAATGAGTTTATAAATCAGCAGCGAAAAAAAAATAATTGTATATTAGTAAAATACCTGTTTATCGTACTTACCTGTGTAAGTACGACTAAACAAGTTTTTTTTAAAGAAACAACGTCATGAAAGGTCAGGCAACCTTTTCTTATCCTTGGCTTTATTGTTTAGGGTGGAAGGGACGTGGATGTAACATTCCTGATTGCCCTGGAACACCAGACTGCTTTGGGCGCGGTTTCTGTAATGGGACAGGAAGAGGCTCACCAATTTGTACAAGTTGTAATAAGGGATGGGCTGGATCAGACTGTAACCAGCGTTGTCTCCATGGCCATCCAAAAGACGGAGTTTGTGTCTGTGAACCGTGCTTTACCGGAAGTGGATGCGACAGTGAGTGCTCTGGTCATGGCGAGTGTGTAAAAGGAAAGTGTCAGTGTGATCGAAATAATGGCGATGCATATGTAGGTGAAAAGTGCGAACTTCCAGGATGCCCAGGTAGAGATGGTAATTGTAACGGCAAAGGATTTTGTAATATGCGTTTGAATAAGTGTGAATGTTATCCTGGATGGGCTGGYGACGGTTGTGACGAACATGACTGCCCTGGTTACCCCCCATGCTCAAACCATGGAGACTGCAGCAACACGTTTCCAAGGAAGTGCAATTGTCACTCCAAGTGGGCCGGAGAAATCTGTAATATTCCGTGTGTTAATGGCTTAAACTATGGCAATTCATCAGGATGTATCTGTGACCCATGTTACTCTGGAACAGGATGTGATGCTGTCTGTTCTGGAAATGGCAAATGCAGGAATAAAAGGTGTTTTTGTGATATCGAAAAGGGCTTTAAAGGGGATGTGTGCGCTATACCAAGCTGTCCAGGATTTCCTCACGACTGCAGCAACCATGGAAAATGTAATAAAGCAACGCTTAAGTGCCAGTGTGACCCTGGTTGGTCAGGGAGGGCTTGCAACATACCTGACTGTCTTGGAGTTCCTGAATGCAACAATCGCGGTAATTGTCTCMCGCCATCCTACCCTGGTGCGCAGCCAATTTGTAATTGTACGAAGGGCTGGGCAGGTGTTGCCTGTGAATTGCCATGTGTACACGGTAATTCTACTAATGATGGTGAATGTTCTTGTGACCCATGCTACAATGACAAGGGATGCCAATTCATGTGTTCTAATCACAGCGATGTATGTATCCAAGGACAATGTGACTGTGGATTTGATGGATGGAGAGGACAATTTTGCGAAGTAAAACGATGTCCAGGGCACAAAGTAGACTGTTCTGGTCGTGGTCAGTGTTTGTCAATCACAGGAACGTGCATGTGCGACGTAGGATGGAAGGGTAAGCCTTTTGGTRTATTACATTATAAAATGTAACAACAAAATTGTTCTGAATTAAGGTGGATCGCTACACTTGTTTTTTTGATCATACCTTTTATTTTCATTTAAGGTTACTGTGAACTTTCTGACTGTGACATGCCATCGTTTGAAAATTCATTCCTGTGACGCATAAAACTGAAAGCTCATAGACTATATATCAATTTAAGGCTAATAGAATAAAGAGAAGGATTTCATAAGAACTTTTTTTAAATAACGTAAATACCTCACGTTCTAACTCAAAACCGACACTTCTGTTTGCGTGAAGATAAGTCAAAAATTTCAAAAGTTTTTCAAAAGTCAAAAGGTTTAAATAACTRAAATTATTTTTTATGTCAAAACAAACAACACATGTCAATCTCAAAAAGCGTGCAAGGCTTTATCGATGTTTAATTTTGTTGCGTGTTGCATTATATTTAATGCAATAACTCAAAATTGGTTGTCGCAAAAGGTCCAGAGTAACTTTAACTACTTTATAGCCTTAGCCTGTATGTACCTGACTTTTGGATCAAGGARAGAAATAAAATGCACGTAAGAAATGATTTCATTTTCAGTTTGATCAGCCGTGGCAACGATCAAAATGTTTTGATTAAATTTTCTTTGAAAAACACTACACCGTAAAAGGTCTTGTCGGCATAAAACTGCTGTGATCCATCATAAGTTATAATCTATGAGCATAGATTAACTCTTAAACTGTCTATTTAAATCATAGGTATCGGTTGTGAAAAACCAGATTGTCCAGGAGAACCAAACTGCAACGACAGAGCAAGATGTATTTCAGACAAGATTCCCTATTGCGGCCCATGTAAGTCAGGATGGTCGGGGCTGGCATGTGAGGTGCCTTGCGTAAATGGCACTCAAAGTAAAACAAATGCGAAAGTTTGTGAGTGTGAACCGTGCTACAATGGCCTGAGTTGTGATAAAATGTGTTCAGGAAAAAATGGCACAATGTGTTTGAATGGTACTTGTGATTGTGGATTTGAAGGATGGAGGGGTGAACTCTGCGAAAATGTTGGCTGTCCAGGATGGGGTACTGACTGCACTGGACACGGGACATGCAACAGTGCAACCGGGTCATGTACCTGTAATGCCATGTGGAGTGGGATCGGTTGTGAAAAGCCCGACTGCCCTGGGACACCAGACTGCAATAATAATGGAGATTGTATTAGTGCCGACATACCTTACTGTAAATGCAAAAAGGGGTGGATGGGGGCCGCATGTGAAATCGCATGCACTCACGGTAATGTGCGTATAACAGCCGATGGACAGTTTGTCTGTGACTGCCATTCTTGTTACAGTGGGATATCATGTGACATTGAATGTTCAGGAAAGGGTAATTGTACTAATGGCACTTGTGATTGTGGTTTCGATGGCTGGCGAGGACCTGCCTGTGAGACAAAAGGGTGTCCAGGATGGTATAAAGATTGTACTGGGCATGGCTCATGTATAGCGGCTCTCGGACTGTGTTATTGTCGACCGGGTTGGGGAGGAAAAGGTTGCCATATACCTCAATGTGCTGGAGGAGGAAATTGCAGTGGTCATGGTACTTGTGATGGAATGCACTACGATCCTCCTATCTGTATATCCTGCGATCCTGGTTATATGGGGGATGACTGTGGGATACCGTGTGTGCACGGTAATGTCACAAAAACCGTGAGTGGACAAGTCTGCGTGTGTGATAGCTGTCATACTGGAGTGTCTTGTGACAAGGAATGCGACCGTCACGGTTCATGTGTCGCAGATCACTGTCAATGCAGTAAAGGATGGCGCGGGGTAAAATGCCAGAGAGTAGGATGCCCTGGTGTTGGAACAGACTGCAGTAATCATGGCGTTTGCTTAAGCGTTACACAACAATGTGACTGTTTTAGAGGATGGAAGGGTGAGGGCTGTGAAATACCTGATTGTCCTGGTTTTCCTGACTGTAACAACAAAGGAGACTGTGATGGCAACATCAACCCTCCTCGCTGTACAAACTGCACTAATGGAACAATGGGTGTAGGTTGTGAATTGCCTTGCATCCACGGGACAGAATTCCCCCCTCGTTCATCAATTTGCAAGTGTGATCCATGCTWCAAAGGTTTGGCTTGTGAAATCGAATGTTCGGGAAAGGGGTCTTGCAACAATCTTTCTTGTACTTGTCATCAAGGKCGTAAAGGAGATTTGTGTCAATTCCTGGATTGTCCAGGAGAACCTGATTGTAGTAACCGTGGTACATGTGTACAACAAGGACGTTTTCCCTTGTGCCTATGTAATCAAGGCTTTGATGGTCCAGACTGTAGCCGTCTCGTGTGCCCAGGAACACCAATGTGTAACAATCGTGGCAATTGTACTCTCGTCGGCAATGTTCCACAGTGTACTTGTAGAAACGAATTCCAAGGCAGTTCTTGTGAAAAATGTAAACCTCGTTACACAGGATCTGAATGTGAAGGTTGTATTACTAACTATATCGGATGGAATGGAAATTGCGATGTTTTCTGTGTGCACGGAGATGCAAAAGGCCCGAATGGTGATATCTGTAGATGTCACAAAAATCCGTTACAAGGCTACTGGAATGGAACAACATGTGAGCAATGCGTGACAGGGTATGCACTACCAAAGTGTGATACTTGTGATATTGCACATGTCGGTGAAAAGTGTGATATCGATTGCGTGACTACCAATGCTGCCTATCGCGACCCACGTGACGGCTATGGAGACAATAGCGAAATTATACCTTTCCTCGACTGTTTAGAACGATTTCCAAATGGAACAGTGATAGCCTGGTTTGGGTACGAAAACAAGAACAGCCATAATGTGTACATTTTTGTTGGACCAAATAATCAATTTACCAGTTCAGTCTTGCCTGATGGCCTTATTGGTTTTGTAAAAAGAGCAAACGGGRATTTCCCACCGGTTATAATCCCATTACCAACTAATAATCTTGGCCAGCCAACAAAGTTCCGTCCTGGAAGGCATCAATATGTTTTCAAAACAAGGTACGTATACTATTGTATTCCAGTCTTTTGACTATCTGATTTAATTCGGAATTCGGTTTTTCTGTTGAGGTCATTGCAATTTCTAAAATAGGATGCGGGTACCCAAACCAAAACTTTTGACATGTTCGTCAGCAAAAAGGCGACCAAGATCAAGTTTCGTGTACCAAGATATATGTATTCGCTCATTCTGCAGCATGGTAAAAGGAGTTAAAACTCGCATTGTCRATATGATTAAGTTTTTCAACATCCTATTTTCAATAATTACCTTTATACTAACGTTTCTTGCGTGTAAATATATATTTGATACTCCATGTATTGGTGATGTTTAGTTTGTGTGTGCTTGTTTCCAGAATCGATGATAAAATTCCATTGAACTGGATTCTTGCCTATCCGCTTTCAAATAAAAGGCTTACTGTCAGCGTTCAAAGCTTTAATATCAGCGCACGTGCTTGCAACAATGATGACGTCAAGGTGAACAAATCAGTAAGTAAATTATTGATATTTTATGCAAGAACGTATATCCATTCGCAGAGAAATAAAGTTCCCGTGAAATTTCTTCATCCTTGTTTCAAATTTCGATCAAATATATATATTATACACMTATTTCAAAAAACGTTGTCGTCGCCAGGAATCAGTCCACAGTCTTGAGCCTGCAAAGAATCTCGGGATGGAGAGACTTGTTCGATGGGCCGCAATAGTATATATTAGTATATGTAGTGTTTGCCGCCATTGCATTCAAACCACAATATATTTTGAATATATTAATTACGCATGGAAAYCCCRAGATYCTTTGCAGGCTCAAGACTGTGGACTGTGTCGTGGTGACGACAACGTTTTTTGATATAGGTGTATATGATATACATCATACAATATTGAATTCATCAATTGCGCATTTAATTAGGATATTTGTTTCTGTATGCAAACGAAATACCTATCAAACCTCACTCTTATATTTTTAAATTGTTGCTTTTTAATATAGATCACAAAAGACTTTAAATCTTGTATCTGTAAAGATGGCTACTGGGGAAGGGCGTGCCAGAACACTTGCCCTGGAGGATCTTACGCGCCATGCAACCGTAACGGATTCTGTAACAAGACTTCAGGAGAATGCATTTGTGACTTGAATTGGCGTGGAAATCAATCTTGCAGTAAGTGTACAGAGGGCTGGTATGGTGCCGATTGCTCGGTTTTCCTTCAAAGAAACAACTTCACTGCATCTGTGTTTGCTCAAGGAAATATAATCACTACGGACGGATCGATTTACAGATTTCTTGGCAATGGTGAATATTATCTACTATTCTCTCCAAGTTTATCATTCGAAATCCAAATCAGAATGACGTCCTGTTATTCTTCGAGTTCCTGTGTWAATGCTGTAGCGGTAAATGCCAGTGGTAATGTCATTATGATCCACGGGAGATATTCTATTACTGAAGATGCTGTTGTTTACGTAAACGSAAAAAGATCGCTCAATTTGGAGGTTGAAGTCGGAAGTGAAGAAGAAAAACTGCTATTAAGGCGCATCTCGTATCTTAGATACAGACTAACCAATCAATATGGAGTACGTGTTRACATTCGCTTGTATGATCGATATATGGATATCCAAACGCACATTCAAAATGACAGCTATTGCTTGAATAGTGATGGCCTTTTAGGAAGCTGTAACGCAAACTATTTTGATGATTTCAATTGCAGAGGTGGTGCCTTTGTAACTAATATGAACCTGACTCAGCACTACATCCATGAAGTCTACGGTCCTTCATGGAGCGTGCCTAACATCAATAGTCTTTTTGTGTACGACAGGAAAACTTATCGCGAGAAACAGAAACTACAAGGGGGAGGATATGCGCTATTTTTCAACAATACAGGAATACACACTAGAGACATCTATAGCTTCTCCTCTTCAGATATTACCATCGAACTTATTGTGAAACTTTTTGGAGATGATGGAGTGATCCTTTCTTATGCAACAACAGAAACATTTGCCTTAATTGTTCAGTCCAGAAAGATCCTCCTACAATATGCTGATAAAAGTGTCGATACTTATATTACTTTAGATCTAAACACGTTCTATCATTTGGCTGTTGTATGGACACGTGACTATCAGATTATACAGTTTTTCTTCATTGAAACTGATGGTACTTTACAAAGCCGTAATTTCCCCGTGAAAAGTGAAGTTTTTGAACCTGGAGGAGTGCTTGGGTTAGGATACTGGGTACCATCACCTACCGGTCACGGAAAGCCACCGTCTGCAACGTTTGTCGGCGAAATAGACGAACTGCGTCTGTGGAACATCAAACTCTCTATGTCATCAGTATCATCCAATAAAAATCGAAATTTTGACTGTAAAAAGGTGCCAGGGCTTGCAAGTATGTGGAAATTTAATGAAGGTCAAGGCAATATCGTAGGTGATTGTATATCAGGAGTGGATTTSGTTATACCTCAATCTATTTGGCATTCAGTTCACTGGGTCTATTCTGATGCTGACATCCGAATGTTCTCCTATGGCACAATTGCAGCATACAGCCTAAGGTATCAACAAACCCTGGAGTTTTCCGATACTGAAAGAAAATGCAACTACCTTCTTTATTCCTCACAAATGATGAAAAACTGTATATTCCTGACCAATTCGACTCTGTCATTCTATTACTCATCGTGCATGCACACAGTGATGAGGACGGGTAGCTTGGATGATGCTTACTGGATTGTGATGGCTCTTGCTGATATGTGCTCATCGATCATAACTAAAACAACTTGGCTTGCCTCATCACTATGCAAAGACGTCAASAGGCTGAACTTCCCTGAATGGTCTGGTACATTTTGTACTGAATTTTGCCAATACGGCTTACAAAGTAGCGGTAACATCAACGACTGCCAGTGCATGAAAGGTTTTTTCGGAAGAAACTGCTCTTCCAAATGTCCAGGAGGCTACCTCTCTCCCTGTAACGGTTTTACAGATACATGTGATCACATCTCCGGTTACTGCCAGTGCCCTGCAACAGCAAACATCTCAAGTGATTGCACCGTTTGTAGCAAAGATTGGACGTTGACAGACTGTTCTGTTGCCTACCTACGGAACTCATCTGGCTTACGTTATTGTCAAGGTTTTGGTTCTGGATATTACGTGTCCTTTGATGGGGTGCATTTTAAGTTCAACACTTATGGCGAGTATTATATCATCAATTTGCCACAACTGGCGGTGCAAATTCGTCAAATTCCATGTGGTGATTCATTCTGCATATCATCCATAGCCGTTAAGACAACTGGAAAATCCTTTGCAATCCGCGCCGCTTTTAACCGCACAGGTAAACCTSTTGTATGGATTGATCGACGTCGCACRTTCGAGACCCAAGTCGTTTTGGATGGGCGATACATGTATCGTAAGGTATCCCCTGATACTCATGAGATAACCAACAACTTGACATTGCCACGTCTACAATCGCTGAAGATAAAGACCTCTGGCAAGTACCTTTCTTTTGAACTTCTACTTGAACAAAACCTGTGTCTGAAGAATTCTGGTTTATGTTCCTCGTGTGATGACAGTCCGAGCAATGATCTTTCAGATGCAACTGGGACCTACTTTTGGGGAAATAATGGAAGTCAGTCTATTGTAACATCTGTTCTATCCAAGCGTTGGCAAGTCTCATCTGAACAATCTTTGTTCATATTCAATACAACATCTTATCATGAACAGCAACAAATACTGTTATCTGGGTTTTGCTTGTCGTTTGACGGAACCAAAGCATACACAAAAAGTCTCACTGGAATCTTTGAAAAGAAGGAAGACTTTACTATTCAGGTAAATAATTATACATATTTCCCAATTTTTACGGACTCTTTCATCCATCCCTTTTCTTGCCCTTCTTTATATTTAATTTTTCTTGCGTTCMTTTTTCACTGAATCCATCTTTCCGTCAACCGTCGAAACCATCCATGTACTCCTTCTCTCATTAAAACACCCGGTTATTCACCCTTCGCCTTTTTCATATTTTTAGCTATTCGTGCTGTCAAAGATCGTCGGGGGAACTATTTTGTCATATGCCACCAAGACTACTTTTGCGATTGTAAATGATAACACCATACAGCTTTACTTTGGAAGTCAAAGATTCGATACTAGCGTAACTTTGAAAAAGGGAAAATGGTACCAAATATCCATCAGTTATCAACGCAAGTTAGGTAAGCTAATATATATAAAAATTATATTTAACAATTAGACCTCGAGGGCGAGTCGGGCGAATAGAGTCCGAGTAGCGTAGCCAATCAGAATGTAAGATTTGCAATAGTCCAGTAGTATGGTAATATTACAGTTGTATAGACTGACGTTTATGGTATCATGTGATTCGACCATCAAATCGGATGGTTATAATTTTTACCTTATATGATAAATTCATAATTCAATTACAATATATCTTTCCATTCTAGGCGTCCTATCTTACCATCAAATCAGTGAAGGAAACGTACTTTATACAAAGAAATTCTTCATTGGCAATAGAAGCAAGTTCCCACCAGGTGGTTCACTATGGCTTGGCACGTGGTATATAACAAAAGAGACCATCCATGGTATTCCGGCACAACCATTCAAAGGCAGCATTGATAACCTCAAGATATGGAGATTCTACTTGGATGCTGTCAAAATCAGGAGAAGCTTTTCAATACCTTTACAATATGATACCAATGGAAATGCAACAATTTGGTTGTTTGATGAAGGAGAAGGACGTATCGTCAAAAATGTGGGAAACAACGAAAATCTTATTCTTTTACCTGATGTRCAGACGAGAAGACCAAGTTGGGAATTTTCATATTCAGTTGAAAGACCTCCATATTTGGATAGTACACTGAAAACAAACAAATCTTTACTAACAAAAGCAGAAACATTTTGCCACAATCTGATTTATGATTCTAAAATGATCAATGGATATGGCCAGTACTTCACGAAAGCTCAGCTACTGTTCTACTATCAAGCGTGTGTAAACACTGTGCTTGCTACAAAAGACCTTACTGCGGCCTATTCATCTGTGGTTAGTTTGGCTGCCCAAGTCAAGACAAGATTTAATTTACCCACATCACCCGTACAGCACATGTGTCATAGTCTTTCACCAGGATCACAGTGGATCGGATCAAACTGCAATGTGCGTTGCGTCTTCGGGAGGGCTGATTTTAGTAATGGAACTGTATGTGTTTGTGACTTTGGATACTGGGGTTCAGACTGTGCAACAGAGTGCCCTGGTGGAGCTCTATCTCCATGCAGTAATCATGGGAAATGTGACATCATTTCCGGTGACTGTRATTGTGAACTGAATTGGAGAGGTAAGACCGATTGCAGTACATGTTCTCCTGGATGGACTGGCAGTGATTGCTCTGTAGCAGTTTCAACAGGGCACTTCCCAACTTGTTCGGGATTTACCGGAGGTCATTTTACAACTTTTGATGGKGCCAATTACAATATTTTTGATGTAGGAGAGCTCTGGTTGGTAGAAAATCCATCATTTAAAGCTCAGCTGCGACAGATTCCGTGCGAAAATGGTATCTCTAGGTGTATCAACGCCCTTGGGTTTGCATATCAAGACCTATGGGAAGTTGTTATATATGCTCCAAGAACATCATCTGGTCTTCCAATCGTCTTTCTAAACAATGTAAAAGTAGCGTTTGAGTCAACGAATATTCCTCTTAACGGAGGCGCATCGTTTGGTTTCAGTTCTTCGACAGTATTCACAATTAAAAGCGAAAAGGTTGGACTTATAATACATGTTCGRGTGTTTGAACGACGTTTATTGTTTAACCAACGAGCATCTTCAATGTTATGTAAAAGCACAAGTTCATTATGCGGAAACTGCGATGGTGACAGTGGCAATGATATGCGAAGTGTATCAAGGATTCAAAACAGCTGGCAAGTATCGAAAGAAGAAAGTCTGTTTAGACATGTTTTTGACGGTTATGAACAGCAAAATATACCAACTGGTGCAGAGTTTGGACTCAAGTTCAGAGGTGTTGGSTTGTCCAGTAGCTTAGTACCCAATATTTTCACTAGTACCTATGTCACAATACAGCTCTGGTTCAAATCTGAAACATCAAAAGGTGGAGCTTTRTTTACATATAGCAAATACAAGTCATTCACGTTAATCATGGATAACACACTGATCGTCCGCTGTGGGAATGTAGTGTGGGAAACAGCATTGCAACCCAAGAKTGATATCTGGAATCAAGTAACAATGGTGTATTTTCGGGTTACTGGAGTACTGACTTTGTACTTGGCTACATCCAAAGGCGTTGTAAATCATAAAACAACAACCTTTGAACCAGGGCTTTTTACGTCTGGCTGTATATTAGCATTAGGTCAGTGGATTCCTGGGTCTACTGATGCATCGATTGCCGCTCCTCACGGATTTGTGGGATACTTGGATGAAATTCAAATATGGAATAAAGAGCTCACTCTCGCAGAGGTAAAGAACAGTTGGGGGCAAAATGTACAAAGAACTGCACATTATTTGGCAATCCTTTGGAAACTCAATGAAGGACAAGGAAGTATTCTTAAAGACTTAGTATCAAATGTTAACTTGTACATTCCTTTCGTTAYAAATGCTCCAGTTTGGGTATACAGCTCTGCTAGCATCGACATTTTGCGCATTTCAAACGTAATCAAGTTTAATAATGCATCCCTGGAGGCGTACGCCAAAAGATGGTGCACAGAAAATCTTCAGACATCTCCTGCTGGGCAATTGTGCAAAGGAATGGGTGTYGGGAGCATCGAATTCTACTATAGAAGCTGCCTTAGAATCATAAACAGTTTAGGCACTGTATCAAATGCTTTGGAAAATRTTTTGGCGCTTTCAGATTCCTGTCAGACATCGTTGAATCTAAATGTTTGGCCTGCAAGGCAAATGTGCAACGTTGATGTTTTTAAGCATTCGCGCTTTATTACGTGGATTGGTGCTAATTGCGATATAGCGTGCTTATTTGGTCATTCAAGCTCCTTATCGAAACARCAGTGCGTCTGCGACGATTCCTTCTGGGGAATTCACTGYAACAACGTTTGTCCTGGTGGTCCRCTAAACGCATGTCATAGTCATGGACAGTGTTCAGTAGACACGGGTGACTGCAGCTGTGAGTATAATTGGCGTGGAAAGTCTGATTGTAGTATGTGTTCTCCAGGATTTTATGGAAAAGATTGTTCCATTGCCTTTATTCCGTCGGGTCCTCATGGAGTTGGTGGAGTTTCAGGAAATGGCCATTTTGTTACACTAGATGGGCTTAAAATCAAGATAAAAGTAGCAGGAGAGTTTTATGCATTTACTTCATCACGCTTAAATGTCAAGGTTCAAATAAGATTCACCAAAMAAGGGRRGTCCATGCGMMYTGGATGCGYATCTGTTCAGGTGGAACGTGCGAACATTGCAGTTCATACAAGTTACGGTAGTTCAGGGCAGGTTTTGGTAAATGTCAATGGAGAGCAAATAAATCCTAAGAACGATGTCTCCCTRAGTTCTTCGGGCTTTTACTTCCGACGTGTTTCGAACGACAAATATGTCATTTCAGGTCCAGAGAATTTTARACTAACACTGAATCAGCGCGGATCACATATGGGTGTTGCGTTAACCATGGACAAGTCTGCATTTTCAGATGGATTTTCCTGTGGATTGTTGGCACAGTGGGAGCAAAATAATACTCGTTGTGCAGTGTTTGGGAGTGGAAAACTCAAGGACGTTTCGCTTTTGACACAAGCAATAATTGACGATACTGTGAAAGACTGGATTGTWCCTCGTAATGAAAGCGGCTTCAAAACAGTTTTAAAATTTGCAAAAGAACCTCACATAATCTCCGRTGCGGGAAGCTGTTTGCGATTTAATGACTCTTCGTTAATCACACCTCCTCTAAGTGATATATTCGGTGATCTCTTCGTAGCTGTTCAGTTTTATATCAAAGCTAAGGACCCTAGCCATCGTGGGGGAGTTGTTATATCCTTTGCACTTAACTCTACATTAGCCTTGACCATCAACAACACTCTTCAGATAATCTATGAATCAAATACTTATGACACAGAGATAGTTCTAGAGACATTGCAGTGGAACCAGCTTTCTTTAGTATATTGGAAGGTGTCCGGCGTGTTMCAAGTATACTTGATGTCTTCAAATGGTACTCTTTCATTGAGAACTATAGAAATTGGCTCTGGTGCCTTTCCAGCACGCTGTACAATGGGAATCGGTATTTATCAAGTCACAACGTTTGAGTTAGTAATGCCAGGTTTCGTTGGATGGATTGATGAGCTTGTGATCTGGAATCGACGTCTGGATGCGATTATGGTACAACAATTGTGGAAAGTAAGCMTGGATGCCTCCATATCTGGGATTACTGCTCTTTGGAAGTTCAACGAAGGCTCTGGGTATAAAGCAAGAGATTCCATTGGTTCTTATGATATTAGCTTGCCCAAACCACCATGGAAAACACCAGAATATCAGCCATCAGATTTGCAAATATCAGGWGCATCAACGCCAAGCAARTTATTTCGCAATAAGATTCTCGAAAATAAGGCRAAACAACTGTGCTCTAAAATAATGCTGTCTGGTCCTTTCAATCAGCAATGTGCTCATGCTGCRGGAAATCCTGATTCATTTTACCATAATTGCTTAGAAGATATTGCTGTTTCCGGATCGTTAAATTCAGCTATCGAATCAACAATATCAATGTCRACGATGTGTCAGGTAGCCCTAAACTTAACAAAGWTGCCAGGACAAAGTCTTTGTAACATGTTTCCAGACGGTCGATATGATGATTGGGTAGGAAAGAACTGTACTACTCGATGTTTGAATGGCATCTTTGTAAAAGGAAAATGCGTCTGTGACAGTGGGTACTGGGATTACGACTGTTCAAAGGAATGCCCTGGTGGAGCAGCAAACCCTTGTTACGGACATGGTTATTGYGATAAGCAAAGTGGAGAGTGTATTTGTTCTTGGAATTGGAAAGGGGACAAGCAGTGTAAAACATGTTCGAAGGGATGGATCGGTCAAACATGCTCTATAGCGATATCAAAACCCACGCAGAACGTCACCCTTTCAAAAAATGCAACTGTTGGGTGTACAGTTTTGGAGGATGGCTTCGTGTCGGGATTTGATGGMTCACTTTATAGCTTTACTACTGTCGGAGAGTATTTAATGATAACATCATCCGAAATCGAAGTACAGATAAGACAAGTACCTTGTTATGTTGGTGCATTGTGTATAAATGCTATGGCTATGTCTTATGAACGATTCAAAATCAGCGTCCATGCACCATACTCAAAGAATGAGAAACCATTGTGGTACGTGTTTGGTAAACGCTATGAGGTTTCCACTGGATTATATTTAAGCGGTATTTCTGTAGAAATGCGTTCTGYCAAAACCTACCAGATTCAAGTGGAAGGCTTTTTCACCATAACTCTTACAATCAGTGATAGATATTTCAGCCTCGAAACAAAGGCCATCYTTGAACAATGTAAAGGATTTGGAGGGCTATGTGGATCATGTAGTTCTGCCGTTAGTAGTAACACGTCAAGCGTCAATGGCACAGTAATTGAAAAGAACACTGTACTTGAAGGGCTTAAAAGACAAAATATGTCATCCTCAAYGACAGTTAATGATTACGTCAAAAACAAGTTGAAAGTTCAACATGATAAAGAAAATGACAATTTGATTGTGATAGACAAAGAAAATCACAAGGAAACTCGAAAGGTGTACGGAGGTATCTACTGCCTATATTTCAACTTCTCTGCGATATTCTCCAACAAAGTAACCAGCTTATTCAACAACAATACTGTGACGATTCAGTTACTAGCAAAGTCTTGCCGGCCAGATATCTGTGGTGGAGTTCTCCTTTCGTATGCATCATTCGACACGTTTTACATCAGTAACTATAAAACAGTCCACGTTGGGATAGGGAACACAATTTATGACACACAGCTGGAAACGAACACTGACGTATGGAATATGATTTCTGTTGTTGTMTTCCAAGAAAAGATGGAGATTTTTATCTATTTGACTGATTACCTAGGAATAGTTCGTTACAAAAGCTTCACCATTAGGATCTTTCCTTTTGTTGATGGAGGRACGTTAGCAATTGGTCTTTGGCAACCGGCATCGGGAGCGAAAAATACTCCMGTCAATCACATCTTCCGAGGCGTCATCGATGAAGTACGTGTTTGGGAAAGAGGCCTTGATTATGCCGTAATCAAACAAAGTTGGTCAAAGAACATAAATTTTGATGCACCTTCACTGACGGGACTGTGGAAATTCAATGAAGGAGARGGCCCGTTTGTAAAAGACTCCATGTCGAGAAATCATTTAATGTTTCCTAAATATCCACTGAAAGMTCCAGTATGGATTTTCTCAGATGCACCGATAGAACTGATCGTCGGGAAGAGTCCTAATAAGAACAATGTGACTCTTTTAAGAATTGCAGAASAATCCTGCCAAAACTTCATCTTCTCTGGATCTATATTCAATGAATGTAAAAGATTGGGCAATGTAACACTACAGTTCTATTTCCGCGCATGCACTTCGGTAATATTATCAACTGGTGACGTTTCTRAGTCAATGGACGTCATAGTAGCATKCTCGTCTACCTGCCAAAACACACTGAACCTTCCTTCGTGGCCTGCTAAAAGTCTTTGTAACGCCTTTCCTGGTAAGGATTTCCCCAATTGGATTGGTACAAACTGCACAACACCTTGTCAATTTGGGAAAGCTTCCGTTAATAATCTTGATGTATGTGTATGCAATAAGGGATATTTTGGAAAAAACTGTTCTGGAATTTGCTATGGTGGGCCATCCAATGCATGCAATCAACATGGCACATGTGACAACATAACTGGAAAATGTACTTGTGAAATTAATTGGCGCGGAAATGAGAATTGCACGAGGTGCACTAGTGGATGGACAGGAAGTGATTGCTCCTTTGCTGTCACACAGACAACTTCAAACAAAGACCTTCCTGTTGTAGCGAGTATTTCAGTTCGGGGGCGTATCACAACATTCTCTGGCCTGAGTTTTGTGGTCAATCTGATTGGAGAGTACTTCCTTATATACTCCAGTGATAATACGGTACAAGTGCAAGTTAGATTGGTTGAATGTTATGAGAAGTTTTCATGTATTCGAGCTYTGGCTGTGCGGATAGATAGACATTCTATTATTTTCAATGCTCCAATAACATCAAATGACAGAGCAGTGATATGGGTGGACAATGAACAGACTGACATAGACATCAATACTCCATCATTGGGGAGATATGGCTTTACCATCACCCGTCAGTCATTAGATCTTTTCGTCATTAAATGCCTAAAACTATCCATATCTATAAGAATCTATGGAAAATATCTGATGATAATCGCAAGACCTTCGCGCATACTTTGTCAAGATTCGATTGGAATATTTGGGGATTGCTCCAACAACATACTGACATCCTTGAAATCATTTTCACAAACCCTAAACTGCTCAAAATCTCCATTAAACATCTCCTTGGCCCAGCAAAGGAACTTCACCTCGGTAAACTTAACTTCAATAATGGTTCAAAGACTTTTTCAAAAGCTGAAAGTTAAGAAATGTCATGGGATGTTTATCTACGCATACGATGGAGTTACGGTATACCCAGACGCAAACACTGGCTACGCTCTGTATTTTAATCACACCGCAGTAATATCGTCAGCACCGATTGTTGACGTTTTCCGCCATAACGAGATTACTCTTGACTTCATGATAAAGATCAGTCAACATGGAGTTATTATATCTTACTGTAAACAGAGAACATTCTTCGTTACGAGCTTTGGGGGCAAATTCGCCGTGGTTTGGGGAAATGATACTTTTATAACGAACATCAAAGCGGAAACAAATGTGTGGAATCAGATTGTTTTGGTCTATGTGAAGTCAACTTATATTCTTCACTTCTATTGCTTTTCTTCCGATGGTCTTACCCAAAGAATTGACTTTGAACTGAAATTCGGTGACATTTTTGAGCCTGGTGGACATTTAGCAGTTGGAGGATGGCTTCCATCTTTAGACAGAAGTGGACCACAAAAGACAATCTTCTTCACAGGATTCATTGATCAACTTCGTATCTGGAATCGCTACTTTCATCCTGCAATCGTACAGCAGATTTGGAATAGAGAGGTACGAGTGAAAACAGATGCACTCAAGCATGCTTGGCGATTTAATAAAGGACAAGGGACTGCTGCCATTGATGTTATAGGCAATATCAACCTAGAGCTAGCGACAAAGCCTTGGCATGTTGCAGAGTGGAAAAACTCAGACGGAATGTTAAAAAAGTCTTTCTATGGAGCTAAATCCTCCTATGAATTTAGCAATAGGTCATTAGAGATATATGCGCAGCAATTTTGCCACAAATTGTTTTTGGTTGGCACTATAAAAGAAACGTGTGAACGTCTGGGTGAAGGTTCTATATCATTTTACTATCGCAGCTGCCTAAGGATAATTGCTCTTAAGACAAGCTTAAGTGCAGCCATTGAAGTAGTGATTGATTTCTCAGACTACTGTCAATCTGTCTTGAATCTCAACGAGTGGCCTGCGAAGCCTCTTTGTAATGACTTTGAAGGCAAATACTTTCCTATATGGTTCGGACCAAAGTGCAATGTGATGTGTGTCAATGGAATCAAAAAGAACCCCAACACATGCATCTGCAGGAAAGGGTTTTGGGGAAAAGACTGTGCGAAAGTGTGTCAAGGCGGAGCGGCTCATCCTTGTCACGACAATGGCGAATGCAGTACCTTAAGTGGAATGTGCACTTGTAAAACAAACTGGAAGGGTACCAAGACGTGCTCTGCGTGTTCGCAAGGATGGACGGGCCGTGATTGTTCGATAGCAACATCAACATCAAGTTCGAATTCTGTAATATCTGGAAGTGGTCAATACGGGACATTTGATGGAATTAACTTCTTCCTGACAAGTTTCGGAGAGTTTACCCTTATAGAAAATTCAGACTTCAATTTCACTGTCCAAATAAGACAGGTGCCTTGCCATCTCCGTTCTGTTTGTGTTAATGCTATTGCTGTGAGGTTCGCAAATACCACAATCGCATTGCATGGTCCCTTTAAAACGTCCCAGAGCGAATCAACTATCTGGATAAACGGGGATGTTGTACAGCTTACAGACCTAGTAAGACCCTTTGGAGGAGTAGCAGACCAGCTTAACATCACAATAGTATCTAGGTATCGATACCTTATTACATGGAAAGATCTCGTCAGTATTTACATCCGTATTCAAGGACGTTACTTAAGTATACAGCTGCATCCCAATASTGTCATTTGCAAAAACTCAACAGGTATGACAATTACGTTCATTGTTTGCTTTCCTATGTACATGTGATTATTGAAACCTTGATTATAACTAATGTTGTATTAAAAATACCAATGAAAGCGTTCAGCCTGAGTGATCTTTCTGTTTATATCTATTCCTYTTTGCTAAAGTTCTGTGTTTCTTTGACAGCATTTTTCAATTAGGTATATTTAGTCTCAAGAATTGTGTTTTTCTGAATGTTAAGAAGTACAAACCATAGCATGATAACTCGTGTTATACCTAATTTCATTATCATTTTCGTTTTAGGTATTCTTGGAACATGCGATAAAAATCCAAGCAACGATTTTGTTGGATTGATTCAGAACTTAACACAAGCTGACCTTACCCAAGGTATCATTAAAAAACAAGCAATTCTAGAAAAAGACAGTTTATTTCATCTGCTCAAGCAACACAACGAGATGTCATCACCAACAGGAGCTCGATATGCTCTATTATTCCAGAACACGGGAGCGTCCACAAGCCCTCTTAAACATTCRGTAGCGGAAAATGACTTGACAATCGAGATTATGTTCAAACCTTTGAAACAAGGAGGCACTGTGATATCCTACTCAAAGCGCAAAACATTTGCAGTCACTATAAACGTCACTATCAAATTRCATTTTGGGACCTTTGTGATAGACACTGGAATAGCAGTGAAACTACGTTGCTGGAGCCAGATATCAATTGTGTGGTACTTCAAAGACACTACATTGCAGATTTATCACTTCGATGAAGATGGAAACGTGGTGAGACGTCGTTACAGCTTCATGGAAAACCCCTTCCTCTCCGGTGGAATTCTTTCACTTGGACAGTGGGAACTTTCTCCGGGCGATACAGAAGCTCAAACCAAATCTGTGTTTCACGGAGTTATCGATGAAGTGCGTATCTGGAAAAGACTGTTTGATCCTGTTTTAATTCAACAAAATATCGGTATGAACGTGCTACCAACTGATCCAGGATTATCGGCATTGTGGAAGCTGAATGAAGGCGAGGGGTATGTTGCGCGAAATCTTGTTAATGACGAACATTTAAAACTAGCCCTTYCACCATGGAAACAGCCGCTTTGGATTTTCTCAGATGCTCCGGTAAAACAGCAATATATATCTAACATTCATCCCTTCGAAGTGCAATTTTCATCCAAGAGTTCAGAAAAAGAAATCAGAAGTCATTGTTGGAAAATATTTTACGAAACAGAACTATTTTCAATATGCAAAAGTCTTCGAGCAGAACTTGACATGTACTTCATGATGTGCTTAAAAAATGTTGCARYATCCGGCAATCTAGTATCTTCCATAAACGTTGCCATTACATTTKCTGATCATTGCCAAGCTGTACTCAATCTTCGTTATTGGCCGGCAAAGACATTGTGTAACATTGTAAGTAATTATTCCTTCCCCGATTGGATTGGTGACCGATGTGAAACAAAGTGCGTTTTTGGGACAGCCGATCAGTCCCATGGAAGCTCTTGCAAATGTWTKTCGGGCTTCTGGGGAGAGGAATGTAACCACGTTTGTCCYGGAGGAATAGTGCACCCATGTGGAGGCCATGGAAGATGTGACAGCCGAACTGGAGCATGCTCTTGTGATGTAAATTGGAGTGGAAGCCTCAACTGTTCTTCGTGTGCCATCGGTTGGTATGGAGCCAAATGTCAGTATTCAGTCAGCTATGTTGTTGTAAGCAAAAATCAAACTATTGCAGTTGCTTCCGTTTTGGGYCCAGGATATTTCTTTGGATTTGATGGAATTGGATTCAGTTTGGAAACATATGGAGAATTCTACATAACTAGATCTAYCRTCGACAACTTTGCTGTACAAGTGCGTCAAAGTGTTTGTGTTACAGGTGAAAAATATCACAATCTATGTACGACTGGCCTAGCTGTACGATTTAGAAATGTTAAGATTGTTTTGCGGGCGTCCATAAYAGCCATTCATGACTCACGCAATGCAATCCTAGTGTGGCTGAACAACAAGCTCATCGTTGTAAACCATGTAACTCAACTGTCGGCGTATTTTGTGTTAACTCGCACATCAAGCGTCACTTATTCCATCCACGGTCCAAACAGCATTAGATTTGATTTAAAAGTCGGTCAGAGTCTCTCATTTACCTGTAACATCCCACGTCTGTATTGCTTAAATGCGTCTGGCTTGCTAGGATCATGCGCGTTACCACCAGTTACGTCTCTTAATGGTACCGATTTTGACAGCCAAATTCAAGAACGGCAACAGAAATCTTCTGTATCTTACTCTGATACACTCTTCGTGTACACGTTCAAACATTTTACCGAGCCTCGCGTGTTAACAGGAGGTGGACTTAGCCTAGTCTTCACGGATAGCTTCGCACTATCGAATCCCTTGAATTTACAAGATATCCCCGTACTTACTGTRGAGTTATTGGTGAAAATCAAAATGTACGGAGGAGTCATACTATCATACTCAAAMGACAATACATTTGCTTTGATCAGTTATAACGAACTGATTATCAGATATCGAGGTTATGACTATGACACGGGGATTTCATTAGACATTGGATATTGGCATCAAATTTCATTGGTTTTCATACAGTCTTTAGGAACAGTAAAAATCTATGTGTTTGACAAAAATGGCGTTGTTAAAATTCGAGTTATGCAACTAGACAAAGAAATTTGGAAAAGAGGTGGCATTCTTGCGTTTGGGCAATGGATTTCGTCAAAGGACGGTAGCAAACCACCATCATCAAATTTCCATGGCACAATTGACGAAGTAAGAATTTGGAAGAGAGTATCTAACCCAGATCTTGTGAAAAGCACCTGGAGATTAAATGTTCAGCCAACGGAATACCAAGATCTTTTGCACCTGTGGAAAATGAATCAAGTACAAGGCGGTGTGGTGTTCGATCTTGTAGGAAAAAATAACCTCTTGTTAAAGAAATTCCACCGACCAAAATGGCAGTTTTCAGATGCAAATGTCTCACTACCTGATCTATCAGTACTCACGACAACAGGTGTTTTCAAAGAGAAAGMAACGTCATTCTGCTTTTCCCTTTTATTGAAGGGACCGCTCTTTGACAAGTGCGAACTACTCGGGAAACAAATAGCTGACTTCTATTACAAGGCCTGTCTGCGCGAAACAAGTATATTTATGGACRTCAATGCAGCTATCAACTCAGTGATATCCTTTGCGGATTATTGTCAAAATGCACTGCAACTTCCCACGTGGCCTGCAAAGGAACTATGCAACTTTTTTTCAAATGAAAGATTTCCATACTGGATTGGTGAGCGGTGTGATGTTAAATGCTTCTTCGGATACTCTGTTCCTTCTCCAAATGATACAAATGAGATTGAGTGTAAATGTGAAAGCGGTTACTGGGGAGAACATTGCGAAAACGTATGTCCTGGCGGACTTTTTAATGTGTGCAGTGGACATGGAACGTGTAATTCAGTCAATGGAACATGTACTTGTGAGCCACAATGGAGTAGTGATAATAACGAGGAATCATCAGAGTTACCTTGTTCAAAGTGCTCAGACGGCTGGTCAGGTGCGGATTGCGACGTTGCATTCACAACTAATRTTTCTAAAACTGGCATGACAATAGGCTTTGGAGATCCACATGTCACTACAATTACTGGTGTAAGCTACAACATAGAGACTGCAGGAGCGTTTTTATTTCTCAATACAACTCAGGTACATGTWCTTGTATATTAATTCTTTCAAATATGCTTGCATATGATTCTGTCTGTCTGTATGTTTTGCTGTCTGTCGACCTTTTTTTAACTGAGATGGTTTCTCTTTTTATTGTTTCAAAACACACTTGCATAGAAGAACACATGATTTKGGGGTCAGGCTGATCAGGTTGCTGAAGGTGTTCTTTTAAAAATTGTTCTTAAATTTTTTTGTTGGAATTGTTACTGTTACAATGCTAAAAAATGCTTGAGAGTAAATTAGCATATTTAATGGGAAAGAAAATCAATGAACATCATGACATTATTGTAACAATTGGCCTGCAATAGAATATCAGCCTTATTACTAGTTAACTAGTGAAAAGGCCAAGGAAACCTGAATTTTTTTTAATGTGTAATCCRTTTTATAAGAACATTTTATATTTCCAGGCTGAAAATGGTGCTCTATTTGCAAAATTTCAGCCTGATGTTCTTAATCAATGTGTTTTTATATGCGGGTGTTTACTGTATTCATCTTTTCAGTGCATTGTGTTTCAATTTACTTATATACTGTTTAGGTACGTAATCATTTATAATAAAGTGTTTATCTTTCTAGGTWACTGCTCAGATACTTCAAATCCCATGCAACAACAGGTTRTCCTGTAGACGAATTTCAGAGCTAGCTCTAAGAACAACTAGATTTTTGCTGACAGTGAGATGCCCCGACTTAGCCGAAATTGATGCGATGGTGAAAGACTTACAAACTGGAAGAACATTRCCACTTGACCGTGAAAAGTCATGGGTATCGTTTACTTCTGATGAGGAGAACTCTCGCTACCGCTGGCCAACTCCCAATATTCTAGAAATGGTTTTACCTAATAATGAAAAAGCGACTTTATTGTTTTACAATGGAACAATAGGAACTGCGATTGAAACACTGCGTTCGGAAAATAACGACTCTCTTGGATTAGGCGGAAAAGCGACAGGCAATTGGATAACGTCATTGCAAAGTTTTGAAGGGGCCAACACCTCCAAACTATTGACTCAGGATCTATTAGAAAATAATTGTACATCAAACGCAAGACTAAGTGATGAAGACAACCTACTGAGAAATAACTTTTCAAACCATGCTTTTGATGGAGCAGGGTTTATGCTTGGGTTTACTCGTGGATATTTGTACAGTCGCAAATTAAAACATTTCCCTCTCTTGGATGAATTTACTCTAGAATTGTGGATATGCTTTGTTAATGATGATTCTTCAGTTGAACTTTGTTCTGTGACGAGGAAACAAGAAAACAGAACAAAMACACCAATATCTGGCGAACGTGCACTGTTCTCTACTACAAACGCTAAAGAAAACACGGAGTTTTCCATTGCTTATGATAACTTTGGCTTTAAAGTGAAATGGAACGATCAAACCTTGAACACTAATTTGACTATGCTCGAAGGAGTTTGGACACACCTTTCGGTAACATGGAGAAATAACGATGGACGTTTAGAGATATTTTCCAACTCTTCTTCGTTTAATGATAACTTCACTGTTTATGGTGTTCAAATGGGTCATAAACTGGACTTAAGAGACACATCAGCTTTTGGTAAATACCTTAGAGGATCGTCATTTGTAGAAGGATATGATCTTCATGGGGCATTAGACGAAATACGTCTGTGGCAATATGCAAGAACMGAGCAAGAAATTTCATCTTTAAGACACTCCAAATTTGATTACTTCATCRAAGGTCTGCTTCTTAGTATGCCACTGGACCAAGGATATGGAAAGTCAATAGATGCTTGGAAATACCCTTACCTAAATACCCGTATGGCTGATATTAATATAACAAACCTAGCTCAAAATAAGACCAAGGTTCAGTTTTATATGAACGAAGAAGGTGAAGCACCCAGATGGTTACCATCGGGAGTGAAGACTACACCCCCTAGCAACCACACCTTGGCCTTTTATAACAACAGTCTGGAARAAGAAGGTCGAAAAATCTGTCAAAAGTGGTTTTACACAGGCAATGTACAGATGCTCTGTAGCTCTAAGCTGGTTTCCCAGGCTCAGTTCTATTATGAAGCCTGCCTCGCGGACATAGCGGACGGAGGTTCAATCGCACATCACAAATTGTCAATCAGTTTGTTTGGCTTTTAYTGTCACAAAGTTCTTGGTGTCGAAAAGTGTAAGCTCCATGGAACGTACGATGCTTTCCCACCATGCTTTACCGAGGACCGTCGTGACGTCGACTTCCCGATAGTGATTATTACTATARYGACAGTAGTGGTCGTTGTAGTTGTCATYYTTTGCTGTTGTTTCATTTGTTGCTRTATGAGAAGGAGAAAGAGAAAAAGGAAGCCAAATAAGGCTCAAAAAGAAGCTGGTTACTTAGATGAAACCGAAGGGACAATGTATGCTATGTATTCAGCAGATGAACCCGGAGATATGGGTATGAAAGCCATGTTGAAAGACAAAAAGAAAAAAGGTACAATCCAAGGAGACACAAATAAAATTCTCGAAATGTATGGTGGCGGTGATGAAGAACAAGAAGAAACCGTCGTGTAGTCACAGCTTAAATAATTCTTAAAATAGAAACAGAAATCTTAAAATAGAATAGGAATACCTTCAATCCTTTTAAGAATATGATKGAGAAAAATGTGATTTTTTTTACTCGCTGAAGTAGATTTGAAATTGACTTTGCAACTGCAACTGTGGCAGTCCCAAGGGATTAGGGTCTAGAAATATAGTTAATAGAAAAAAAGCTTTTATTTTTCAAAATGAATATTCAGTTTTTATAACCGACTAATATTAAAACACAACTCCACAATTTTTAGATAGATTATTAAAACACAACTCTACAATATAAAAATAATATTAAAACAATATAATATTAAAACACAACTCTACAATTTTTAGATAGATTATTTTACTTTAAAAAGTACAATAATAAGCATATATACCTGAATAGTAGAGTACAGGGACAGACGATTAGTATTTCAACACTTTCATAAGACTTGTAGATTGTCGTGTGTGATTTCTACTGATTGATGATGCTTCTTTTATTACAAAAACAATTGCTTGATATAAAAAACGTTTTAATAGTGTGTGAATAAATGAAATTTTATTTCAATTGTGGTCAGTGTATTTGAGATCTACYCTATTTGAGACCTACCCTCGCGTAATCATCCGTGATATGACAACGGTGAGGGCATGACGGCGTAATTATGATTGCAATACGTGATATATATGTATTTTACCTGCAAACGGCAGAAACGGCGTAAATATTATTACCGTCTTTCCAGAATGAATGGTTATACGGTGGAAATCTTTATCAACCTTCGTAGTCTTTCGTATGTATCAATATTGGTGTACGTAGGTTTCGTTGCATTTTATTGTATATGTATTCACAAACGAGAATGTTCTGTCCAGGAAACTGCACCAGTTATAGTTAGATTAGTTTGTCCGGATGTGACGCACCAGCAGTTTGTACAAACTCCTGGACAAAAACGTACCCACCCTCACCCCCTTCGCTTTTATTGGTCAAAGTTCACGCTTTCGTTGCGGGTAGTCGAGTGAGTGAAGTCAAAGAAGTGGATAGTTTTGGGTTTCACAGCACGACTGATTTTGAAAGGATCATTAGGCGACTTAATATRGGAATGGTTTGAAAAGTACTTTCGCTGGACATTGGTAAGCTTCAAATATTGAGTATTGTAGCCCAGGTCTAGCTTAATTCGATCGAAATGGGCTTCGCATGCACGCGTACGTTGCACAATCGATGCTCAATTGTTTTTAATCTAAAAATTCGATATGAATTACCCAAGTGATCGTGTTTTTTTTGTTTGGAAAAGAGGATTAACTGACGATTAGTTTCATTGAACATCATCACGTCRTTTCCATGACCTACAATTTGTAGGCTTGATCGAGGGGTTACTTCCCTCACCGAATGGTGTGTTCATATGAACTATCAACCCTAGGAATACGCTCTTAGAGCGTGTACTCGGACTGCAAAATATAGCGTTCTGARTGATTATATAGATTTATGGCTTTTGTTCCTCGGTGAATAATTTAAAAATGGTAAGTATGAATGCACAATACTGAAGAAATATTACAGATGCAGTAATTTCTCTAATTACAAATCACCATAACTGGAAAAATATATAAATATAAATAATTGTAGTCTGAGTTTTTTTTTTTTTAGGGAAAATTTGTAATATAAATTTATTGCCATGTCTGTAGAAGAAAATCTATCTGCTCAAATTGAAAAACTGGTAAATAATTATTTTGTTTTCTGTATTATTTCATCATCACTATAGACTTGTTCCAAATTCATACTCACTCATTCTTCCTGTTGCTTGGGCATCCTGTGCTATTATGAATTTGAGTGCAAGTGCTTTCTGAGGAACAAGATCTGCAAAAGAGGGTAGAAAARTGAACAAGACTTAGTTCCTTCCTCAGCTCTATATTAAATTAGAGATAAGCAAACAGTCTTTTATCTGTCAAGGTACTGCAGTAGAAATTAATGTTTTTAATTACATTTTTCACACACTTCTTGACTTGTTCCTCTGATAGCAATYGTAAACAGAAAATTTGAGTTTAACACAGAAATCTTAAGCACTGTAAGGAATAAACAAGGAAGACTTCACTTGGAACAAGGATTACATTATAATCATCACAAATAAAAATGATAGATTGTTAGGATAAAAGTGAATATTCATAAGAGTTCAGAAAAGAATTTCATCATTTTGCTTCATTGCTCTTTTTGTTATGTAATTTGCTATCCCAAAGCACACAGCACAATGTGAAACTCCAGTTTGGTGTATTTGCAACATTGAATTTTTATTTCAATTTGTTTATATTTCTTATCAATTTACAGTGTGGCTACTGAAACGGGGAACACCTAGAGAATGTAAAATAATCACAATTTCAAATGAAAACAAAAAAAGCTTAAAAAAGCTAAAGAACAATGATCAGTGATATTGCAGAGAACTAAAGTTTTAAATGAGATGAGGTTTCCTTAGTTTGAATCCTTTGTTTTCAATCTAWATTTTATAGACTTTCAGTAGGYGCAGTGTAGTATTTTTTTCATTCATTTATTTTAAAGTTTTGAATAAATTACATTGAAATATTTAAATATTTACATAGATTACGAAATGCATGTGCATGGTTACCAAAAAATGTTATTGATATGTATATTAAATTTATTATTTTTAATTATTGAATATATAGAACATAACAAATGGGAATTCAACAAATACATGCAGTAAAAGGTATACATGTACATGTATATTTAGCATTTTACTGATTATACCTTTATGCAAAATGGCAGCTGCTCATTGGCATAATAAGTTTTTCTCTCCTTAGTCAGAACATGAACTATAAAATATTCAAACATATATCCTTGATTTAGTAAGCTTAGATCAAAACCAGTAATACCTTCCCTCATTCTCATTCCCATATTGGAAATTAAAGCTGCAAGTGTGCTCACCACTCACAAACATGAAATAATTTTCTTAGATTTTCTTGTGTATTTTTATTAGGACTGGTCTAGTTTATGATGATCGAATGACAAAGCATGTTAACATTTGGGATAAGTAAGTATCAGACTAAGATCAGTCTGTCAAGAAAAACRGTGCAGCTATGCAGTTCTTCAACAGATTTTGGCCAGGCAAATCTAATTGAAACTCTCTAAAATCTGTTATATCCCTCTTGATCTCTTCATAGAAACCATTCTGAAGTCCCAGAGAGAATATCAAGACCATATAAAAAACATATTGAGTATGGTTTGTTAGAAAGATGCTATCAAATTCCCGTAAGTTCAATTATTTCATGTTCTGTGAAAATTTTGATTGTATGGTATAAATTAATAGTGTTCAACTGCTGAAGATACARCAATGTCAATTTTTGATGCAGAAAAAGTCCATGATAAAGTAAATAGGTCTACCCATCCAGTATATRAAATACTCACTAAGAGTGTCAAATCAGTGGATCTGTGAAACTATAGCTGTTATAAAACTAGCTCAATTCATGTCCAGGCTTGTTTTTTGAATGTGTAATTCAGGCATTCTGATAAAATTACATGTAGTGCTGCATAAATGTTCAATTATGCRGCAAAAATTCACGATTACGCTGTAAATTGCACAATATTGCAAAATCTTTTGGACAAATTATGTGATTTTTATCTATTGTACGAAAAAAATGGGATTTTTAGGTGATAATGCAAAATTGCACCATCACACTATATCAGAAATGCCTGTTAATTCTTATCCAAAGGCTTTGGTTATAGAGGATGTTCTGGTAAGGTTTTCATGTGGAGAAAATRTGAGCATTTTATACCAGAATCTCTAAAAGGTGTAAATTTTAGAAATAAAGAAKTGAAAGAATATTTAAAAAAATCACAAAATATTTACAGGAAAGTGTAAAAAACATCAAAAAATAGTATTAATTGTTTACATGATTTGGTGCAATGTTTTGGTCAAAATGTGTGCAATTCTGCAGCCACCACACTTAACCAGACTCTGTAGTGTCGTAAGCTTCCAATCATGACTGCAAGATGTCATCATGCAGTGTTGTACAGAAACAATTATAATAATTATAATATAACTTATGATAATATAAATTTGTTTGATTTAAAATCTTTGTTTTTTAATCATGTATATAGTCAAGATCTGCTACTGAAGAGGAACTCATGACTTTTCACAGGTAGATATAACTTGTCATTAATTATTACTGACAATTTTTATTGCACAGTGACYAATATTTTATAAATTTGAAATATTCCACTGTCTTTGTTTAAAATTGATATTTAGCTTTACTAACTCTGTAGTGTATAATATTTTATTATGTATGTGTATTTTGTCTTTAGATATTCCACTTATTGCAATAATAATTATAATAATTAATAATAATAATTGCTTAAGGTGTCCACTGCTCACTTTGATTAAATGATACTTTGAAAATAAATTGACTTATTAATATTTCACTATAATTATAGTTCTGCTCACATCAACAAGATGAAAAGCACAAAAGATATGAAATCAAGGGAATTATTTCAACTGGGAGAAGAATATGACTCCATTTATATGAGTGAGGTTAGTCAAGATTGTTCATGGAAGGTGGAAGGTATATTTAAATTAAATAGTTTGTCAATGTGCTAATAACATAAGTATCTATTTAAGCCACAAGATTTTGAATAGTAAACACTGCCCACATGGGAATGTGAACTTTCCTAGTATAGTTTATTTTGTTTGGCATTTGATTTATTCAATAATTTTACCCCAGTACCCATTTGTTCATTGATTTACTCATTTGTTCAATGTATGCTCATAATTGTTTTGTATTTACAAGTGCTAATATAAGCTTGCTTGTTTGATTTTTGTYGTTGTCATGACTACTAGGATGTCTATGAATGTGCACTATTGGCGTGTGGGTGTACGTTGGAAGCAGTGGAGCATGTCRCAACCAATAAGGTTAAAAAAGCTTTTTGTGATAGAAATGTGCTCATCAAATGTTGGATATCTGTCCATGACCTGCTTAATCTGTAAAGTCTTAGGACACTCACCTTGTCAACTCAAACTAATCTGCAGGATTTCTTTACYGTCTAACATCCCACAATGGACTTGATGAGCAGGTGTCAATCAAAATTGTATTCCAAATTTCTAGTTAAAAAGTATTTCATTATTTTAAAGTCTGATTGAATTATGTAATGTGTTATTCAACTTTTTTACTGGACATCTTACAGGTTCAAAATGCTGTTGCTATTGTAAGGTATGTGAATTCAAATAATAATAAACTACACATACATGTGTCAGAGCAATCATATCACAAAATGTCAGTACAACTGTTTACACAAATGTCAATGGCAAGTACAACCATGTCACACAATGTTAGTACCATATCATACTACAATATTAGTATAACCATAGCAATGCATTCATTGTCTGTATATAAGAGCGGATTTCGTATGAGTGGGAAATGGACAGTACTGTACTGTGACCTTAATCGTACAGTAACCAAATTCTAGTGCGCCATTGGTTCACCAAAATTGTGCAGGCCAGGTCCGGTAACTGTGCGGTAACCGTGCGGTAACGGTGTACCACTCATACGAAATCCGCTCTAATGTCAGTACAATTACAATATCATACAATTGTCAGTACAACCATTACCAACCATATCATACAATTACTATTCAGTACTATAACTATACCACACAATTTGTACATTTTGATGACTACATACTTAGAGGTTTCAAAATCCCATTTTTTGTAATTGGGATATGAGCAGTTGATGAATTTTCAAGCAAAAACAAATATATTAAACTAATATAATGTTATGGGTAATGCTTTTTTAATCAGGCCTCCTGGCCATCATGCAGATGTGGACTTTGCCATGGGTTACTGTTATTTTAATAATGTTGCAATAGCTGCAAAGATCGCACAAAGAAAATGGGGAATGAACAGGTACAGCATCGCTAACTATTTAATTAAAAATAGAATTGTTGAATTGAGGTTATTATGCTGTGATAGTTGCCTGAGGAAATTGGATGTTCCAAAAAAAAATTGAAATAATTATTGGACAATCCTATGAAGTGTTAGGAACATTCAGTTTCCAAAGGCAACTTATTATTGCAGCAATGACCAAAATTTAAACTGCTCTAATTTATTATTCAATATAACAAAATTTTCTGGCAGGATCCTGTGGCAGGATCTTAATTTATATACACTCTGATAGTATCCCTCCGCAATCAACTCTCTGCAGTAGGCACTATCATATATATGGTTGCTTCTCCTCCAATGAGAGTGGAGGAAAATTTGTTATCGAATTATTGAATTATATTAATTGGATGATAGCTATCTTATACATTGCACTCTTTTCTGACAATGCAATCATGATTATGTTTAATTTAATATTTCAGTTAATGATAAATGGTCATTAAAATATTTTCTTTCCAGAATTTTAATTGTAGATTGGGATATTCAYCATGGTAATGGCACTCAAAGTCTCTTTGAATCAGATCCAAGGTAAGTTTCAAGTCATTTTGAAATTGTAAGGAATTAGTCACTGATTGATTATAGTAAAATTGCAAACATCTGTAAATTTATAAAAAAAACATTGGTAGCCCAAGAAAACGCATTGAATTGTGAAGAAAGACAATGAAATTGATTTGAAATCTCACACTTTTATGCTCATAATGAGAAATATTTTGCACACAAATGAGTCTAACATGAGCATTGGAGAATTCAAAATTGGAGAATTTAGCTGAAAGACATCTCCAGATGTACATAAAGAGAAGATAATTCTGTCAAAAAGATTTTTATCAATTGCATGCATGATAGACTACCATGCATGTATCACCTTCAAATCAGTCCACCCAGTCAACACTCAGCCAGYTATGGAGGGTTTCTGGCAAAACAAGTTTACTATGTTGTAACACTATTTAGTGCTACCCTCTTTAAATTAAGTTATTATAAAACTTGTTAGATTAATGAAAAATTGAAATTTGTGTTTTATAGTGTCCTGTACTTCTCTATTCATGAATATCATCACGGCAAGTTTTATCCATCTTCCACTATAGCTAACCAYGATGTRGTTGGAACTGGGAAAGGCCAGGGYTTTAAYGTTAATGTTCCTTGGAATAAGGTACATCAGAAGTCGTCTGAAGTGTTTGTCAATAATTCCCTTTGTCCTGCATGATCCTCATTAGGACAGATCAGCAGAGCTGATTCATGACAAGTCTAATTACTGTGACCAGTCTGGAGGACGGTGGCACACAGCTTGCATGCAGTCTTAAAATGTGCAGTGCTCAACTGCATCTTAGACAGTTTGCTAGAGCATCCTATAATTTTTGCATAAYTTTCTTCAATCATAACACATGGTGGCATCGTAGTAAAGATGGCTACCACTGAAGATTTGTGTTATTTTGGGCCAGTTTGTCTAAATTAACATGATTAATTAATAAACCACAATTTTCATTYTATAGTTTCACATGGGTGACGCTGACTACTTGGCTGTATTTCAACATGTGCTGCTGCCCATAGCACATGAGGTAAACAAATATTATTACAAATATTGAGAAACTAAAAGAATAATTCATGTATAAGTAACAGTTGTTAGTTCTCCTGTAGTAGAATATGGTTATTTTTGATTGCGGAGCTTGTTCTTTACTACATCTTGTAAGGGGCTTAATAAACTACTGCCAAGAAATTGCATAAGTGACCTACATTCTTTGTAAGATCAAGTTAAAGACAGTTTTGGAAGACTAAATGTGACTGTGTATAATATATACAACAAAGTTTCATTTCTTGCACAGTAGCTGCACTATTGTTTGTATTTTGTTTAACATTTTTTGTTAAAACATTGGTGGTTGTACTCTCTACATATACAAGTCAACATTATACAAATGTCATGTAATTCATTCAAAATGTAATTATATTCTTAAGTTTGATCCAGATATTGTGCTAGTGTCAGCTGGCTTTGATTCTGCAAGAGGAGATCCAAAGGTATTCTTAATGAAGCTAAGATATTTTTTTTAATTAGGTGTGGAATTTTTATAGCACTTTAAGTCTCATGAAAGACGTTTTTAGACCAATAAACTTCACCTGGTAACCATGATATGATATCTCAGTCTTCCTAGCTTTAAATTGTCCCTCCTGGCACAAAATATATTGATTCAATYGTAGCCAAAACCYTTGGATCAAAATTTTAAACTTTGCTATTTTTAGCATCACCATATAAGAAATGCATCCCCCTTGACCTCCGAAAGGAAGTATTGTGTGTAAATGGTTGCAATGTAATCGTTTTGCGACTATCCAAACGGCACAAGAATCCAAGGTCACAAATAATATTGTAGATATAACAAAAAGAATGCTACGGCCCAGAGTATTTTGTCATGGATTGTAATAATTTTTTTTCTCAAAGAAAAAAAAAATAACGAAAGAAAGAAAGCAAAGAAAAATTCAAGGAATTCAAAAGAATTCCAGGCATTTTTATTATTTTAGGTGCTCATGTGTGTGTGTGTTTTTTTTTGGCCACAGATGGAACATTATTTTTAATTTAATTGACTTATAGTAATATTTTCAAGGGCCTTTGTGATGTCAGCCCAGAAGGCTACTGCCAGTTAACCAATATGTTGATGGGACTTGCAGGAGGCAAAGTTGTCGTTATTTTAGAGGTAAGGCTTAATTGAATATGACATTGACTGTCTATTTTAATTTTTATAATCAAAATTACAAAATCACCCCAAAATTCATATTTGTATGAATTATGTGCAAATTGTATCAACTATAAGTAGTTGTATTGCAACTATACTGCTATAGGCAGATTAGCATGTTAAGGTTTTATTACAAAAATAGTATTTACAAAAACTATTGTACATGAGAAGCTCATTTTTTTAAGGAAAGCCTAAATTACTTGAGTACTGACTTGGTGATATATTTTGTCTTTGGTTTGACATATTACAATCATGTAAAAAAATATGTGTTGTATAGCAAAATGTGCTTAATGAGCTCCACCTGTATTCTCTAAAAAGGAGATTTTTAAAATTTAATGTCCCAAAAACTGTTTCATGAGCTATATATCACATCCTCATGGAGAGCTTATGTTGTGCTGTTGTTCAGAATGATGTTAATTTGCTATGTTTTTTTTTTCTTAAAAGAAATGGAAATGTTTAATTTGTTGTAAACAATGATGCCATTGCGCTTCAGTTCCTTTATTTATTGTCAGTGATTCACAAATGATACACTCACAAGTACATTTTACAATTATATGCTAAGGGACAGGAGATGAAAACAGGGCAAGCCCAACTGACATCCATCCCCTTTACATTAAAATGTAAAATGTTTTGTTCATTTTTTTATTGGTTGATGTCATGACAGGGTGGGTACAACCTCACTTCAGTAGAGGAGTCAATGTGCAGTTGTACATCAACTCTTCTTGGTGACCCATGTCCAAGACTTGATGGAAATCAAGTCCCTTGTAAAAGGTAAAAATGTTGTTGAATTGAATGTCATGCTGATCACATTTCTCTATTTTTGTTGAGCAACTACATGATTGTATGAATATTAGTTTTAATTAGTAATACCCAGTTCATTTAGATTTGAGTCCACACTGATTTTRTTGCAATTTCAGTGCTATGGAGTCTATCAGAGATGTTGTTAATAGTCACAAGCCTTTCTGGAAAGCTTTGGAGTTTGTCAGTAAGTAATTACTATATTAGCATCACTGGGGTAATTTTCTGCAAGCGTATTAATCAAAAGCATTTTATGCCAGCTAATTAGACAGTCATATAGGCAAAGGTATTATCACATCAACTTTGAATTTCAGATGTTCCTTTTGACCTGAATATCATTACCACCAATGCATTAATTATGTTCTGCTCAGTGAGTTCCCATTATTCCTCTTGGACTGAGATTATATTTATTAATATTGAAATTTAATTCTATTTATAGTTATTTTAAGAAAGGTTGTCAGAGCAAAAGTCAATGTTGTGCAAAAAATAAATTTAATACCAWAAAAAAWGTTTGTGAAACAACAAAGGATTAACATCTGAAATGTCAGCAAGTTGTTTCACCTACTTTTTTACGGTGTAAAATTTATTTTCWTACACAACTGTTTCTTKAGAAACACCGACCCAGCTCACACTAGTTTACCGCTAKTTTGTACCAAAAGTCACTATGGGAATTTTTGATGATAAGAGCCACTCATCYCCTAACAAACAAGAACAAACCAATCAAAGATTTTAATTTATCCATACAACAGTATACTGCAAGACAGCATTTTGATGAGAGAATTRCTACCATAAATTTTCAATACTAGTAATTTTTTGTCATTCATTCCCCAAATTTTCCTGGAAACCTTTCCTAAAATAACTAATACTGAACATATTATTTATTTTGCTCTGTACTGACTGCATCTRGTGAAACAGTCATTAAACATATCACCTTCATACTTCATCTTGCACTACAAAATGTCTGTATCTAATTTGAGATTGAATCATTTGTATGTAGTTGTGTTAAAATGAATGTTTTATTGATGATTTCTTGTCATTTTAGATATTGTAATTCCTGTTGAGGATGATAAAACTCATGATTGCACTTCAGGAAAAAAGTAAGTATGCAATACATGTTGCAGGCTTTTGGGGAAATATTTATAATCATTAATTTGTGTTTAGCTATTGCATATGATAATTAGGACCAGGAATTAAGCTCTTACAAACATGACTGATAGATTACGTTGATTGTCTATTTTCAGGGAAAATGAAAATACCTCTGATTTGGAAGGTAAAAAAGACATTTCTAATTGTATGTTTGGTGGGTTGGTTGGTCCGTTGGTTGGTTGGTTGGTTAATTGATTGATTGATTGATTTGTTGGTTGAATCATTGATTGATTGATGGATGGATGGATGAAGGGCTGGATGGATAGATGGATGGATGGAGGGGGGAGGGAGGGAGGGAGGGAGGGAGGGATTAAATAGCCATTTTTGTGGTTGGAAAACAAGTTGCACGAGTGGACTCTGATTTTGCACCAAAGCGATTCAGAATCGGGAAGCAACACCAAAAATTTCCTTTTTGAGCTAAGTCGTAGTTCTCGCTCTTTTTTTGCGGCCAAACAGTGGGCGACAAAAAATCTAATCGAGCGAACTGGAACGACTAATTCTATTTTTGAGCTCGTTTATGTTTCTGCAATATCACGAAAATAATTTTTTCTTGGTAAAAAAAAAAAATGATTGATTTATTCAATGTATTTACGATTAACTATCTTAAAATTTCTTTTCAGATAATGGTGATGCGAACCAGTCACATGAAAAACATCCGGACAAGTTGCATTCGTAACAATCTTAAAATATATCAAAAAATTCATTTCGTTTCCAAACACTTCTAATTTTACTGTATTCTTAAGGATTGCAAATAAAATAGTTTTAAACATAAATCATTACATAATTTTTCAGTTAATTTGAACATTCTGGTCATGTGTACAAAAGTTAATATTATTATATTAGCCGGTAAGTAGGTTATCAAAACATAGTGTTACATTCTTAAACATCATAACAAGTAGATTGTGTGACAGAAGGGAAATCCCGCGTAGTTTGGTATGTAAAAAATTGGCCCAGTTTCTGAGAAGTACTTGAAATCATGTGATATCGCCGGCTGTTCATATCTGAGTTATATTTGTGGTTCTATATTTTCACGAGTGTAGTTTTTTACGGTACGTATGGGTTGTTGTTTAAGTGGCGACCAAGAAACTGATCGCAACGGATCTCGAGGTGAAGATCATCCACTTCTTCATGCTCCACAAAAGGAATTTCGTCATGAACGATCTGAGGAGGATTTTAATAAACACAAAAAGATGAAGAATATACTACAATGTCTTTGCAGATCCCTGTGTCTGTACAACCCCTCTGGTTGGGGTTTGATTTTCAGTTTTATCTTGGCTTTGATATGCATTTTTCAGCTTGTCTATGATCTGTTCGTGGTGAGCGGTTGCCCGGGATTCGACTGTGGATTTCTTGTGAAGACAATTGAAGCCAAACCCAACGCCAGTGCACCCCATAGATCGTCATTTCGTAAGACTTCTAACACGGTGTACACTTTAGCATCAGTTGGTGGATTGTTCTCATATACATTGCTATTGCTATCATTGATGCTTATTCTGAACCGAAGGCGGAAGTACGCTAACAAAGCGATTGGTCCATCGGACGCGCTGTATGAAGATTTAACCAACACACAAATCAAGATAATATTCACGTCCCAAGTTATTCTGACATTTCTCTTTGTGTCAGCAGTGGTTTTGTTTGGTATTCTTGTTCGAGACCAGCCAAGGGACGGATGGTACTTCTATTTGATGATCACTGGAGTTGCAGCTCAGTTTATAGCTCAATGGGCAGCCATTGTTGGATGCCACGTTTTTGCAATTTCTTCCCTTTCATTGGGTAAGTTGTTTTTATTGTCAAGTCAAAAATATGCACTAAGCGAACTTGAGAATTAGCATAGCCTACCCAACCCCCGTCCACCACACACACACTAGATATGAATTGTGAATGCTCTCTAGTGAGTAAAAGGTAAACAATAAGTCAGCAAAATACGGCCATAGCGGCAAAAAATGAAGAAATCCCCGTGTTCCCAAAATTTGCAAAATGAACCACAGGTAACCCAGGCTCAATAACTTAGTATAAAATATGTCGTTCGCACAATTTAGTAAATTAAGTAGAGCAAGTTTTCCCTGCGAGAGCGGCTGACGTCCTATTGGTTGCTTTCGATTATACGCTCCCCCGCCT